GGGCAAGACCGAATGTTCAAAGGCTGTATTACTGGCCAAAACAAAGGCAACAGGACAACTAAGCCCGAAAGCGAAAAAACACGCACGAAGGCGAAAGGTAATTGCGCACAAACAGGTGCGACAAAATGTAACTGTGCACACACAGGTGCGAAAATGCTCCAGCACAGTGGAGAATAAGCTCAACCGAGCAAAACACAATACTGACGGAAATAATTACACACAACACTAGACAAACACAACGAGAAACTTATAGGACACTAATTACGCCAAAACAGAAACAGGTGTGGAAACAAACAGACAAAAGCAAACGAACATGAAACATATAGCGGTGGCAGCTAGAATTCCGGAGACGACGAACGCCGAAACCTGCCCGAACAAGGGAGAGAGGCAGCCTCGGCCGAAACCGTGACACATATTTATTTCATTTATTTCATAAACAAAGTTATGCAACACCCAATTCCCCTGTGTGAAAAAGTAATTGCCCCCTTACACTCAATAACTGGTTGTGCCACCTTTAGCTGCAATGACTCCAACCAAATGCTTCCTGTAGTTGTTGATCAGTCTCTCACGTCGCTGTGGAGGAATTTTGGCCCACTCTTCCATGCAGAACTGCTTTAACTCAGTGACGTGTGGGTTTTCAAGCACGAACTGCTCATTTCAAGTCCTGCCACAACATCTCAATTGGGATTAGGTCTGGACTTTGACTAGGCCATTCCAAAAATTCAAATTAGTTGCTTTTTAGCAATTTTCATGTAGACTTGATTGTGTGTTTTGGATCATTGTCTTGCTGCATGACCCAGACGGATAGTCTGACATTCTCCTGTAGAATTCTCTGATACAGAACAGAATTCATGGTTCCTTCTATTAAGGCAAGTTGTCCAGGTCCTGAGGCAGCAAAGCATCCCCAAACCATCACAACACCACTACCATTCTTGACCTTTGGTATGATGTTCTTACTGTGGAATGCAGTGTTTGGTTTTCGCCAGGCATAATGGGACCCATCTTGTCCAAAAAGTTGACTCAAGTTTGCCAAAAACCACCTGGATGATCATCAATACTCTTGGAAGAACGTTTTATGGACAGATTATTCAAAAGTATAACTTTTTGAACGACATGGTTCCAGTAATGCCTGGCGAAAACCAAACTCTGCATTCCACAGTAAGAACATCATACCAAAGGTCAAGCATGGTGGTGGTGGTGTGATGGTTTAGGGATGCTTTGCTGCCTCAGGACCTGGACGACTTGCCTTAATAGAAGGAACCATGAATATGTAATTGTTGTGTTATTTGTTCACTTATGTTCCCTTTATCTAATATTAGGTTTTGGTTGAAGATCTGATAACATTCAGTATCACAAATATGCAAAAGTAGAGAAAATTAGAAAGGAGGCAAATACTTTTTCATAGCACTGTATGTCTGGTGTTACATTGAATATTTGTGAATAAATGAGAAGAAAAATAAATGATCTTTGTTGCATTATAATGCTGTGTTCTTGACTTGTGATTAAGGGGTAAAACCAGATTGTATCGCCTTTGTTTTGCCCATGAACGGCTCCCACCGTATCCCTCTACCTCTCACCCCTCTCTCCTCTACCCCTCTCTCCTCCTCTACCCCTCTCTCCTCCTCTACCCCTCTCTCCTCCTCTACCCCTCATCATCCTCTACCCTCTTCCCCTCTCTCCCTCCCCCCTCTACCCTCTCTACCCCCCTCTCTCCTCCTCTCCCTCTCTCCTCTACCCCTCCCTCTCTCCTCTACCCTCTCTCCTCCTCTCCTCTCCTCATACCCTCCATCGCTGCTTCCCTCATCTATCCTCTCCCTCTATCCTCCTCTTCCCCTCTATCTTCCTCCCCACTCTCTATCCTCTCTCTCTATCCTCTCTATCCTCCTCTCCCTCTCTCCTCTTCTCTCAGGCATTTGAACAACGAGCATGCTCTGGATGACCGCAGCACGGCCCAGTGCAGGGTGCAGATGCAGGTGGTCCAACAGCTGGAGATACAGGTGGGCTACACACACACACACACACACTCTCTCACACACACACACACATAGCCACTCTCTGTGTCTGTGGCTTGTCTGAGCCAGGGCGGGGGTTTAGAGAAAGCACTGGAGCTTGTAATTTAAAAGAGGAAATCTGCCATCACAGGCCCCAATTATAAAGCTCCCAGTCCAGTCCCTCTTTACTGGGAGAGGAGGGGAGAGTACTGGGGAGAAGGACGGAGGTGGAGGAGGAGACTTGATTCAGCCATCTCCCCCCTAATTCTACCCAGCTATACCACTGCATTGGATGATACAGTATCATGTTTCTCATACTGTAGTACCCCACAAAGGCAAAAGACATCAGAGAGACAAATAAAGATGATGAAGTGTATGGGTGTGTTTGGAGTTGTTTCCAGCCTGGCTGTTAGGCACATCCCACTTCTCTCACAGCAGCCAAACACACACACTCCCAGAATATCCCCCAAACAGCCTGGTGGTAAGCCCAGGGTGTTGGGGCTGGAGCTGGGGTTAGGGTTAGCTGTGGCCCTGGTCCCACTGGTAAACAGCGTTTAGCCCCACGCCTGAAGCCACCGCTGGGGAACAAAAAGTGACAGAGAGGCAGGCGGTGTCACATCACATCAGGCCTCCGGTCCTCTGCCATGTCAACTACCTCAGCCAGGCACAGGCACCACTACTCACTCCACCCTCTACTGCTCTGTTATAGTACCTACACACAGATACACACACACACACACACACACACACACACACACACACACACACACACACAATTCACTCAATGCTGCCCGAATACACAGCCTACTGCTGGTCTCATTCAGCCAGCTTCTGCAGGCCTCTCTCTCTCACACACACACATTCTCTCATAAACACACACTCCTGGTTTGTTGGCTGTCTGACTGAGCGATCTCTCAGTGGAGATGCAGGGTAGCATTTCCACAGGCTACGAGAGTATACACACACATACAGACACACACACACGTTTCCGCATGCTATTGCACAGCAGCTCCCACTAAACAGCAGTTAGCAATGTCAAACGGGGACTAGTGTATCTGTAGGGTAGTGTGTGTGTGAGTGTGTGTATAACGTTTGAGATAGTGTTAGGTGTGTGTGGGGAGGGGAGGGGGTTCCCATCTCTTTCTCTCTGCCTGGGGATACTGGTGCTGTGAGACAGTGAGAACAGCCCAGAGACACACACACACTACACACACACTACACACACACTCACACACACTCACACGCACTCACACACACACTACACACGTGCTAAATCATAGACGAAGGGGATGCCTCTTTCTCTCACACAAACATATATAACTTCACACCCTCCCTCTTTTTTAAATAGCTGTGTTTTACTGGTGTAATGGGAGGCATTGACACTGATGTGGCTTGACTGGATATTATCTAGAGTCCACACTGTGAGAAGAAGCATTAGATTAGGTCTATAGTCTATAAACATCAAGACAAACAGTGTTGGTTTGAATGGGGCTTGAGTCTAGATGTGTGAATGGGGCCTGTAATAAAGTTGTAGAATGACTAATTTTCCTTACTACTGTGCTTCTCTACTATTACAATAGTAATCAGTGACTAAAACAGTGTAATTTCACTGTCTTTGTGTGTGTGTGTGTGTGTGTGTGTGTGTGTGTGCGTGTGTGTGTGTGTGTGTGTGTGTGTGTGTGTGTGTGTGTGTGTGTGTGTGTGTGTGTGTGTGTGTGTGTTTCTCAGCTGTCCAAGGAGAGTGAGCGACTGCAGGCCATGATGACTCACCTGCACATGCGCCCATCGGAGCCAAAGCCTTTCAATCAACCTGTGAGTACCTGACCTCTCACCTTTCACCTCTCACCCCTCACCTCTCACTGTGCTATAGCAGATGCTACTGAGGTGTATTTGTGTTTCTGAGAGTTTTGGGGGGTGGGTGTCCAGTCAGGCTTGGTGTTTGCACCCTAGTTGATCAGTTTTACAAATTAGGATTACAAATGTGGACTACAATTTATTTATCCATATATTAGGGTTATCTATAGCATTGATTATTAGTTTACAAGATATGTATACAGCCTGTTGTTCTTGATTCATATATGAGCAGAGGTCCCTGTAATAAACTATTTGATAATGGAGTAAAAATGTGATAATAAGAATAACATTATGAAAAAAGACACAAGCTTCCTCCAAATAAAGTATTGAAATGTGTATGTGTGTGCGAGCCATCAGACAGTCTGCCCTGTTGATGGATGGAGCTGTGTGTCTCTGGGCAGGCAGGCAGGGCTGTTATTAGGTATCTAATGAATATTTCATTATTCAGATTGACGAGGAGTCTTATTAAAATATGAAGATGTTGAAATTAATTGTCAATTAGAAGTGGAGTGTCTTAATTTGAGGGGATGTAAATGGTTGCAGTGGAGTGGAGTGGCAGGACGTGTGTGTGTGTGTGTGTGTGGAGACAAATGCAGAGCATCAGCTGTCATTAGCACCTTATGGGAAATCAGGAAGAGGCGTGTCCTTTGTTGTCACGGGAGACAAGCCTGGGGGTCAAAGATTGGAGGAGGGGGGTGGAGGGGAGGAGTCTTCATAATGGAAACAAAGCTTGCCCTCAATTAAGAGGGTTGTGGTGTTGCCTTGGTGATGTGGCAGGTCCACAGCTAATGGAGTACCTGTTTAACAGGGGGATGGAAAGAGAGGAGGGAAGGAGAGAGAAAGAAGGGCTAGAGAGAAAGAGGCAGATTTCCAGAGCTAATGAAGTAGCAGTTAAACAGGCCTGACCCCTAATCAGTCAGAATGGTTCAGACCACTCCTCTGGAGCAGAGAGATGGAGGACAAATAGGGGGTGGGGGCTGGTCATGACTGGAAAGAGAAGAGAAGGAGAAAGAGGAGGGAAGGTGAAGAAGAGAGAGATGGGGAGAGAGAAAAAGGAAAGAAGACTGGTTGAGATAATCAGAATACCCCCCCCCCCCCCTCTCTCTCTCGCTCTCTCGCTCTCTGTGTCTCTCTCTCTCTCTCTCTCTCTCTCTCTCTCTCTCTCTCTCTCTCTCTCTCTCTCGCCCTCTCTCTCTCTCTCTCTCTCGCCCTCTCTCACTCTCTGTCTGTCTGTCTGTCTCTCTCTCTCTCTCTCTCTCTCTCTGTGTCTCTCACACACACACACACACACACATACACAATGGTTTTAATTAGCTCTAAACTAGCAGCCCTTGGAAAAGTGTCCCTGAGCGACTCAGAGGACTGGTTTCCAGTTCCCATTGCTCCTGTGCGCTCTGCCTAATTGGGCCGAGCTGGGCCATGAAGAGAGCGTGCCACCGCTGTGTGTGTGTCTGTGTGTGTGTGACCACAGAGGCCCCCACGCACACACTCCTATATCTTGCTTTCTTTTGTTTTTGTTGAGGACTAATTGCAGTGTGTGTCTATGTAACTGAGTCTGAAGTATTTGTTTTGTTCTCCACTAGCAGAGTTGATGATCTTATGATAGATTCTCTTTGTGCCAGCTGGCATCGCTCATGTCTCTGTGTCTCTGTGTTTATGTGTATGAAAGGATTGGATAAGTCTAAGCAGCATAACTAACTGTCCATCTATCCTACCAGAGGGCAAGGTGGAACGATGAATCGTGATGATGATGGTCCCTATTTGATGATCTCACATCCTGTTCCTCCCCAGCTGAACCTGGCGTCCAGTGGCTCCCTGCTGAAGAGGGAGAGTGAGGCGTACCCCGAGGGTCTACCTCACCCCCCCACCTCCGCCGCCGCCCCTATCACCCCGCTCCGCCAGGGCCCCTCTGTCATCAGCTCCTCCAGCCTGCACTCACACTCACACTCACACTCACACTCACACTCACACTCACACCCGCACGGCGTGGGACCCATACGCAGGCGCAACGCTGACAAGTTCTGCACCCCCATCGCCTCAGGTATACGAGAGGGTATGCATACAACCCTCAAACACACACACTTGTGTACACACAAAAATTGAAATCTATACAAGCATACTGGTATACACATGCTCACATAAACTGACACACACACACCTATCTAGGACTAACACAGTGTGTTTTGTCTCTGTAGAGCTGGCACAGAACTGTGAGTTCTACAAGAACGCTGATGTCAGACCTCCCTTCACCTACGCCTCTCTCATACGCCACGTAAGTCTCCACTCCTCCTATTATCATTTTCTCTTCCTGTCATCTCCTCTCATCTTGCTTTCCTCCTTCCCTACCCACTCAAATTCTCTCCCCTCCTCTTCCATCCTTCCTCTGCTCTCTTTTTTGTTTTGTGAACCATTGGTAGCTCCGTTGAGACGTTGTCTAATGTTGTCCCCTCTCTGTCTCTCTCTAGGCCATTCTGGAGGCTCCAGACATGCAGCTGACTCTTAATGAGATTTATAACTGGTTTACGCGAATGTTCGCCTACTTCAGGAGAAACACAGCCACATGGAAGGTGAGTCCACACACATTCTTACACACACACTCCTCCGCATACACATGTGGTCACTCACCTACTGTAGACACACAAACACATGTACACACTATGAACATCCACACACAAAGATTAGACAATATTCCTCCTCACACACACACCCACACACTCACACACTCGGCAGCCTCAAAAACTGACATGGCCATTGAAACACCAAGCTGTTTTGATGATTATAAGCCATTTTACCCACAATGCCCTGAGTGGAGTGTGTGTGTGCGTAAGTGTGTGGACTCACTCCACGTGGCTGTGTTTCTTCACAGAGAGGTGTTAGATTTGATTTACCCCACCTCCATCCTCCTCCCTCCTTCCCTCTCTCTTCTTCCCTCCCTCCCTCCATCCCTCCCTTCCTTCCTTCCTCCCTCCCTCCCCCCTCTTTTTCTTCCCTCCCTCCCTCCCCCCTCCATCTCCCTTCCCTCCCCTCCCTCCCTCCCTCTTCTTCGCTCCCTCCTGGTCTTCCGGAGAGTTCTGTGGCCTACGAAGACGGTTCCACTTAACTCAGTGGAAACACACCTCACTATCACACAGCGTCATTACAGAGTCACAAACACTCAATGGCTTCTCACACACACACATTCTCACACACACACTCTCGCAGTCTATGACTCACACACACACACACACTCACACACCTGTCTGGAACGTGACTGTGTAGGTGCTGACCCATTTCTACTGAAGCCTCCATCTAATTTGAGTGTCAACTCCTCCAGAGAGAAAGAGGGAGAGGGAGAAGGAGCGATAGAGATAGACGAGAGGAGGGGTGAAGAGGGGGTGTCACGGCCCGAGCCTTGCACTAATAGCCTTGAACTGAGGTGCGGAGGGAGAGCGGGAGAGAGAAAGGGAGGGCGAGAGATGCCAGGAATATCTTTGCCTCCGCATCTCACTTTTATGAAATTTAGCAAATCATATATTCTTCCTCTCTACCTAGACCCGGCCCTTTAAATATATATCTATCTACCTTTATATATTTATATATGTATGAAATGTCTGGAGGTTTGGCCTGTATTAAATATAGAGAAAGATGTATGTCCTTTAATGGGCCTGGATATTTTATGTGGAGAGAAAGTGTCAGCCTCTGGAAGTCATTGATCAGAGAGAGAGAGGGATGACTGTCCAGTCAGAGTTAAACAGAATGTGATTTAATTTCTCCAAGGTTCTGAATATGGTTGAGAGGGTCACATTCAAAAGCATATAGGCTCGTCCAATAAGATCATTTTAGAGTCTGTCTTGAACTTTTGGTGCCAACATGGTACTTGAAGGGGTGTATGCTGAAAGGTAAGAACTACAAAAGTCTGTTGTGTGGGCGCTGTGACACACACACGCCACCTCCCATTTGACCCACGCCCCTACCCATCACCCTTTTCTCTAACAGCCCTACCCTCCTCTCCTCACCCCCAGTCTCATTCTTACCCCTCTATACCCCCTCCCCCTAACTGTACCCTTACCTTTCTCCAATACTACCGCTAGCCTTACCCCTCTTTTCCACCTGTCTCCCTTCTCCCCGTCCCCTCCCCTCAACTCCCCTTTCCCACACTCACCCCTACCCCTCTCTACACGTCACTCTCTCTCTCCCCTCTCCTCTCCCCAACCTCTCCAGGGTGTGTTGTGTTTATGTGTGTCTGTCTGGGGGGAGGGGGGGACGTGTGCTGTGACCTGCTGTAAATGACTGCTAATGTTTTAACTGGGAGAATTAGGCTTTCATCACGGAGCCAAATGCAAATAGCAGTGAATAGCAGAGGAGCCGCGATGGAGGGGTGGCGGGCTGAGATTGGGGTCATACTCATTTACAAAACTGAGCATCGCAACTCGAAGGAGAGAGGGGAAGGCGGGGAGGGGGCTGATTATGGCTCGTGTAATTACGTGTGTGTGTGTGTGTGTTATTGTGTGTGTGTGTAATTACGGTGAGGAGTGATGCACGCTCTGCCTGTCCCTCCCTCATGGATTAAAAAAGCATGTCAGAGAAAATATGCAGGATTTAATTATAGACAAATTAAAATTGGTAATGAAATTGGGCATGAACAAACTACAAACAGCAGATGAAAAGGGAGGACTGTCCCTAGGGGAGTGAGCCGCAGATAGTGGTGTGTGTGTGTGTGTGTGTATGTGTATGTGTATGTGTTTGTGTGTGTATGTGTGTGTGTGTGTGTATGTGTATATGTATATGTGGGGGGGGCGGGGGCATGGGTGGATGGATTGTGGCTGATTACAGAAATGTAAAAAAATAAATAAACGGGAGAGGATGCACATCCTTGTCATATTTTTCACGCCCCGGACAAAAGTGTTTTTCTGAGTAGTGCGTGTGTGTGTGTGTCTACGCCATGCTTGGTTCTCTTCAGTGTAACTGAAAATAACCATTACAGAGTGCTGTTTTTAGGCACGAATTCCGCGTGTTTATGAAAGCAAATTATTCTTCAAATCGGATGGTCTTTATTTCCTTCACTCTCCCCCCTCTCTCTATCTCTATCTCCCTCTCTCTATCTCTATCTCCCTCTCTCTATCTCTATCTCTATCTCCCTCTCTCTATCTCTATCTCCCTCTCTCTATCTCTATCTCCCACTCTCTATCTCTATCTCCCTCTCTCTATCTCTATCTCCCTCTCTCTATCTCTATCTCCCTCTCTCTATCTCCCTCTCTCTATCTCTATCTCCCTCTCTCTATCTCTATCTCCCTCTCTCTATCTCTATCTCCCTCTCGCCGTCTCTTTATTTTCCTCTGTTCAGAATGCTGTGCGCCACAACCTGAGTCTGCATAAGTGTTTTGTGAGGGTGGAGAACGTGAAGGGGGCCGTGTGGACTGTGGACGAAGTAGAATACCAAAAGAGGAGACCACCAAAGATGACCGGGTACAAACTCCTCACACACATTTATCTGCCTGCCTGCCAGCTCTGGCTCTGTTGGATGATATGCATACAGTGCCTTCAAAAAGTATTCATACACCTTGACATGTTCCACATTTCGTTGTGTTACAGCCTGGATTCAACACACAATACCCCATAATAATAAGAAATGTAGAAATGTTTGCAAATGTATTGAAAAAAAAATATATATATATATCTGATTTACATAAGTATTCACACCCCTAAGTCAATACTTTGTAGAAGCACCTTTTGCAGTTATTCCAGCTGTGAGTGTTTCTGGGTAAGTCTCTTAGAGCTTTCCACACCTGGATTCTACAATATTTGCCCATTATACTTTTTAAAATTCTTCAAGCTCTGTCAAGTTGGTTGTTGATCGTTGCTAGACAACCATTTTCAAGACTTGCCATAGAATTTTAAGCTGATTTAAGTCAAAACTGTAACTTGGCCACTCAGGAACATTCAATGTCGTATTGGTAAGCAACTCCAGTGTAGATTTGGCCTTGTGTTTTAGATTATTGACCTGCTAAAAGGGGAATTAGTCTCCCAGGTTTTCCTCTAGGATTCTGCCTGTGATTATAGCTGTATTTCGTTTATTTTCATCCTAAAGAATTCCCTAGTACATGCCGAAGACAAGCATACCCATAATATGATGCAGCCACCACCAGGCTTGAAATCATGAAAAGTGGTACTCAGTGATGTGTTGTGTTGGATTTGCCCCCAATATAACGCTTTTTATTCAGGACAAAAAGTTCATTTCTTTGCCACATTTTTTGCAGTATTACTTTAGTGCCTTATTGCAAACAGGATGCATATTTTGGAATATTTGTATTCTGTACAGGCTTCCCTCTTTTCACTCTGTCATTTAGGTTAGAATTGTGGCGTAACTACAATGTTGTTGATCCATCCTCAGTTTTCTCATATCACAACCATTAAGTTCTATAACTGTTTTAAAATAATCAGTGGCCTCATGGTGAAATCCCTGAGCAGTTTCCTTCCTAGGAAGGACACCTGTATCTTTGCAGTGACTGGGTGTATTGATACACCACCCAAAGCCTATTTAATAACTTCACAATGCTCAAAGGCATATTCAGCGTACATTTTTACACATCTACCAGTCTGTGCCCTTCTTTGCGAGGCATTGAAAAACCTCCCTGGTCTTTGTGGTTAAATCTGTGCTTGAAAATTCACTTCTCGATTGAGGGACCTTACAGATAATTGTATGTTTGGGGTAAAGAGATGGGATAGTTATTCAAAAATCATTTACATTTTAGTCATTTAGCAGACACTCTTATCCAGAGCGACTTACAGTTAGTGAATACATATTTTTTTTATACTGGCCCCCCGTGGGAATCGAACCCACAACCCTGGCGTTGCAAACGCCATGCTCTATCAACTGAGCTACATCCCTGCTGGCCATTCCCTCCCCTACCCTGGACAATGCTGGGCCAATTGTGCGCCACCCATGAGTCTCCCGGTCGCGGCCGGCTGCGACAGAGCCTGGATTCGAACCAAGATCTCTAGTGGCACAGTTAGCACTGCGATGCAGTGCCTTAGACCACTGCGCCACTCAGGAGCCCCATGTTATTATTGAACATGGAATGAGTCCATGCAACTTATTATGCGATTTGTTAAGCACATTTTTAATCCTGAATTTATTTAGGCTTGCCACAACAAAGGGGTTGAATATTTATTGACTCAAGACATTTCAGCTTTAATTGTTTTATTAATTTCTAAAATGTTCACAAAAAAACATTATACTTTGACATTATGGGGTATTGTGTGTAGATCAGTGACACAAAATCTCAATGTAATCAATTTTAAATGCAGTCTGTAACACAACAAAATGTGGAAAAAGTAAAGGGGTGTGAATTATTTCTGAAGGCACTGTACAGTATGTGTGTGTGATGTGTGTGTGAGGTTATACAGTGGGGGAAAAAAAGTATTTAGTCAGCCATCAATTGTGCAAGTTCTCCCACTTAAAAAGATGAGAGAGGCCTGTAATTTTCATCATAGAGATTTTTTTTTCTCCAGAAAATCACATTGTAGGATTTTTAATGAATTTATTTGCAAATTATGGTGGAAAATAAGTATTCGGTCACCTACAAACAAGCAAGATTTCTGGCTCTCACAGACCTGTAACTTCTTCTTTAAGAGGCTCCTCTGTCCTCCACTCGTATTAATGGCACCTGTTTGAACTTGTTATCAGTATAAAAGACACCTGTCCACAACCTCAAACAGTCACACTCCAAATTCCACTATGGCCAAGACCAAAGAGCTGTCAAAGGACACCAGAAACAAAATTGTAGACCTGCACCAGGCTGGGAAGACTGAATCTGCAATAGGTAAGTAGCTTGGTAAAAAGCCTACCATCAGTAACACACTACGCCGCCAGGGACTCAAATCCTGCAGTGCTAGACATGTCCCCCTGCTTAAGCCAGTACATGTCCAGGCCCGTCTGAAGTTTGCTAGAGTGCATTTGGATGATCCAGAAGAGGATTGTGAGAATGTCATATGGTCAGATGAAACCAAAATAGAACTTTTTGGTAAAAACTCAACTCGTCGTGTTTGGAGGACAAAGAATGCTGAGTTGCATCCAAAGAACACCATACCTACTGTGAAGCATGGGGGTGGAAACATCATGCTTTGGGACTGTTTTTCTGCAAAGGGACCAGGACGACTGATCCGTGTAAAGGAAAGAATGAATGGGGCCATGTATCGTGAGATTTTTGAGTGAAAACCTCCTTCCATCAGCAAGGGCATTGAAGATGAAACATGGCTGGGTCTTTCAGCATGACAATGATCCCAAACACACCGCCCGGGCATCGAAGGAGTGGCTTCGTAAGAAGCATTTCAAGGTCCTGGAGTGGCCTAGCCAGTCTCCAGATCTCAACCCCATAGAAAATCTTTGGAGGGAGTTGTTGCCCAGCGACAGCCCCAAACATCACTGCTCTAGAGGAGATCTGCATGGAGGAATGGGCCAAAATACCAGCAACAGTGTGTGAAAACCTTGTGAAGACTTACAGAAAACATTTGACCTGTGTCATTGCCAACAAAGGGTATATAACAAAGTATTGAGAAACTTTTGTTATTGACCAAATACTTATTTTCCACCATAATTTACAAATAAATTCATTAAAAATCCTACAATGTGATTTTCTGGATTTCTTTTCCTCATTTTGTCTGTCATAGTTGACGTGTACCTATGATGAAAATTACAGGCCTCTCTCATCTTTTTAAGTGGGAGAACTTGCACAATTGGTGGCTGACTAAATACTTTTTTTCCCCACTGTAGGTGTTGGCATGTATGATTGTGTCCCATGATTACCAAGGGGTTAACCATGGAGTCAAACATAAATCCTGCTATGTCAGTGTGTGTGTGTGTGTGTGTGTGTGTTTCATATCTGAGTGTGTGTGTGTATGTATTTCCCATTTGTCGACACATTACTGTGCGGCTGTCTATGATGCAGGTTTGTTAGCATGTGTAATCAAATCTTCACACACACAGAGGACAGAGGCTTGTTAGCGTGTGTAAACAGCTTTTCTTTCCAATTTCCAGAGAAATCAGGACAAATTACACAATCAAACACACATACACATAAACATGCCTGCACAACAGATATCAGAGACTGGGAACCGCTGTGTGTGTGTGTACAGCATCTGTTTACAGTATGTGTGTATGTTTCTGTGTGTAGCGGGTGCGTTTGTTACACTTGTTAGTTGTTTTTGGCTGAACCAACGTTTCTGCACACATGTACTCAATATGTGTTTATTTCTATCCTCCTCATATCTTTCTCTCTCTCTTTCTCTTCTACCTCTCTTTACCCCCCTTTCTCTTTCTCTCTCTAGGAGTCCTACTCTGGTGAAGAATATGATTTCAGGCCTGGGCTTCGGTTCCCTAAACGCCAGCTACCAGGTTAGTGTACACACACTAGTTCGCAGGTGAGGGTTGTCACAGTGACACGTGTGCGATAGCCAGTCACAATCAAGGGCACTAATATACATTTCCTCTTATAATTAGTGCATTCCCTAACGACACACACACCTGCCCTAACACTCTCACACGTACAGAAACACACCTCCCCACAGGCAAACACACACACACATACCAACACACACTCACACACAGACGCACACACACACACACATTCTACTCCAGCCGACTTTGACTCAGATGATTTATAGCATCAAGTATTTGTCAATTAAGGTCACTGAATAAAATTAGTGCCTGTCCTAGAAAATCAATTTCAGTGTCACTCCTATCACTCCTATCAGATACAGACACAGGCCTCTCTCTCTCTGTTTCTCTCTCTGTCTCTCTCTCTACCCCGCTAACCAACCCCGACTCCACATACACACACTCCCTGGGCCTCTCTCTCTGTCTCTCTCTCTGTCTCTCTCACTACCCCCCTAACCCAACCCGACTCCACATACACACACACACCGACACCGACACACACACACACACAGACAAGCATGCACATACTGTACCATTAAACCCTTGAGCAGTGAAGTGTAGAGTGCAGGAGCCCCCTAGTGGTTGTAAGGGGTTATCCTGCAGATTTAGTAATATTGCCCTTGCTCTAGTCTTCAGCATTACTCAGTATCAGCAAGATCTCAACAGGACTCACCAGTCTAAGCATCTCTATTGCCTCATAAATATATGAGTCCTTCATACTAACAAAATTTATTTGTGGATCCATAAGTACTTTTAGTCTATTTGGATGTGTGTGAGTGTCTTTTAAAGTAAGTGCCATTCTAAACAGTGGTTATTGTAATGTAAACCTGTGTGTTTCTGTGTGTGTGTGCGTGTGTGTGTGTGTGGGTGTGTGTGTTAGGCGGCCCTTGCGGAGAGCAGTCTGACTCTGCTGAACAGCCAGGGCCTGGTTAACCCCTCCTCTGCCGCCAGCCTCAACATGCTACACGGGATGGGTCACAATGACGTCAGCTCCACTGTGGAACAGGTCAACAGCAACGGTAGCTGCAGCCCTACACTCAGCCCACAGCAGTATGGGTAAGACACACACACACACACTACACACAACATATGTATCGCGAGAGAGGATAAGCAGAGAAGAGCTAGAGAGTAGAGAGAGCGAGAGGTATCTCTCCCTCTTCTATTGCTTTGCTAGATAATCGATTATCTCCTCTCTATCTCTCTCTCTCTATATCTTCTCTCTCTCTCTCCTCGCTCTCTCTCGCTCTCTCTCTCCTCTAATTGCATCCCTCTGTCTTTCAAGACACCAGGTCCCATTGTGGAAGGAGGAGCCCATGAGGTCGAGGAGGACAGACGCTCCTTGTCCGCTCATGGCAACTGTCACTCATGGAAACATGGCATTGCCTAGCGATCGGGATGACCGAGATTTGGAGGATGACCTGCCAACCGACGAGCTGGAGTAGGATTGGAAGAGCTGAACCAGTGGGCGGGACTTTGAGGTTTAATCCCGCCCCCTCCATTGGAGGAAAGATAAATTATGACCACATAAAAAATAAGATATAGAGAGATTTTAAAAAAATAAGATTTTTTTAAAGCAAGAAACCAACAACATTGAGAAACTTCAAACAGGGTTAGACCTCCGTTACGTACCGATGCAAAAATAACCCTCTGGAGCATTGCTTTATCCCCACATGTTTTCACCCACCTCACCCCTCCTCACTCCTCCCCCACCCTATGAGCAGCATATTGCCAGAGAGCCAGCTCTCAGTGGTGATATGGAGGCAGGGTCCCCTCTTCTCTTCTCCTCTGTCCTCCTCTCGCTACTGATTGTGACAGACGGTCTACTCACCCTACAGTCCTTTAGTGCTGGCAGTTTGATTTTCACACCACTTCAATATACATACAGGTGTGTGTGAGAGAGAGAGTGTAGAGACACACACACACCAGATCATGTGTATAACTTTTTTTGAACAGTCACCAGGAGGTGTATACCTCTCCTCCTCTTCTCCTCCGATCCTTTTTCTTTTCTTCTTTTGCCTGAAAGAACTGCTGGGCTTTGAGATAGAAGGAAAGACAGTGGTCGTTTTCTCAAAGATTACCCCACATCTGCTCACACATCAGAAACCAAGCATACAAGCCAGTCAGTGATCCATAGGTGAGACTGAGACTGGATGGCAGGATTCTGCCCTATGCCCACTCTCTACCCATTCTCTGCCCAAGCCAGACAAGACTCTCTATACTCCTTATGCCAAACAAAAAAAGAAGAAATCCCCCATCCCCACCTCCCCACAAAAAAAAAGATTTCAGGAAGAGGACCCTTTGTTGCATTACTCCTTCTTCATGCATGATAGAGTGATGGGCCCAGGCCACCCTGAGAGAGAAAGAGAGGGAGGAGGGAGGGAGGGAGGGAGCATCCACACAGAGATATCTGACTAAAATGGTTTATGATTATGGAATACAAAAAATGTTTCATCCAAAAAGTGGTATCTTTTTCACTTCTTTTTTTATTTGATGTTTTCTTTGTTTATTTTTTAGGATCAATATTTCCATGGTGATATAATTCTGTTTCAAAGTGTATTTTGTATTTGTTCGTTTTTATTAACTCTGCTGGTTCACACCATTCTATACTAGTATTGGCAGCAAAGAAAGTGTTGTCCCAAAAATACCCATACCCAACCCCACCCCACCCTGAATACCTTTCTGTGTGTCTGGGTGTGCCAGTTCAGATGGCAGGAGATTGAGAATAGCACTTAGGATCTGGGGCCTCAGCTGCTGAGAACACTCACTCATTATCCCCACAGTTTATCATCCATTTTTATTATTCCTTTTTAACTCATTCCTTTTTCTTTTTATCTTCCCGTAGTTAGTTGAGAAACATCAGCTGTGATACAAAGCAATGCTTTAAAAAAGATATTATTGCGGTCAGAGAATACCTCATCCCACAAAGGTTCTGTCTGGAACTGTGTCCAAAATGTTAAAGAAATAAGGGGGAATTCTTTCTTGGGGACACCAAAACGTGGCAACTCAGTTTCAGTTCAAAGTTCTATTGTTACTATAGTTACTGTATAGAAGCTATCTGCAATTCACTGTGTGAGTTGGACTAAAGGAATAGCACGTGAGATTACAAATCTTTTGTTTTCAGTGAGCATAAAAGCATTACCTTCTCTGCAGTGCCATACCAAATTTAAACAAATTATTTTAATGTATTTTCTGCTTTTTTCCCATTTTATTTTTGTTACAGGTAACCAAAGAAATGTGTAGAAAACCAAAAACCCTGTAGTTTATTTTTCCCCTTTTTGAGTTTTTCCTCTAAAGAACTGGCCAAAAGACAACCAACACCTGAAATTTAAGTTATTATTGTGTTATCGTAACTCTTGCGTTGAATTTGTTCATGACAGTACTGACCATTCCAAAAACCAAAGTATAAAATGCAAAATAGAATTTGGTGATGTTAAAAGCTTTTTACATACGTGTTAACTGGTGCGAATGACGACTCACATTAGGTATGGTATGGTACAAGGCCAAAAACAGTATTAACAAACAACCTCTTGCAGTTATTTTGTTAAAGAAAGAAAGCGCTTAGGATTTAAATCTCTATCTCTCCATGCTCAGGCTACCTGTGTTTCAAACACAACCCTAAGAGAGGCTCCGCTGTAGGCAGGCCTAAGATGGGCTTCACAGTTAAAGATGGCAAATAATTATCTTACCCTCATAAGGCACTTGAACACAACATTTATATCCCTTTATGTGACACTAGAAGCCAGCAAAAAAATGAACTGTGGGCTGTTGTCAGTTGTCCATTAACTGGGATACCGGGCCAAAAAAATACATTGTTATTGCACTGCAATAATGCATGTTTGGATTAATTTCCTCAACCAAAACAATGCTTTCATTGTGAAACTCAACTCTATAAATTCAAACATCCCTTCGTGCTATGCAGCAGAATGTTATTTTCTTGACCCAGGTACCGGTTTGACTGAATAACAAAGTCCAATTGTCTTTCCGTGAACGGTTTACTTACTGTACCTTCATTACTCCTCACCTACACCATACTCTAGCAGACACAACAGTTTAACAAATACCAAAAAGGACAAGTGTTTTAATACATAGGAACAATGATAATACTTCACACTTATATTGTCTTCATGCTCTCACATTGCCATAGAAATACATTCATATCCCCCAGTCTCAGATGTGCTGTGAGTAGTTGTGATAAAGACTGTTTGAAGCTGGCTGTCATCCCAAACATCCCACCACTGGACAGGGAGGGAGGGCTATTCAGAACAGACACCATTATGACCACTTGGGATATTTACAGCAAAGAGGGAACAACTGACAAACGACAAAATCATACGTATGTAAAAGGAACACACCAAGGGACATGTCAACTTATGTCTTTTTTTTCTAAAACAAAATTTGGGGAAGAGTTTTGTCAAATCAACTCTTGCACTTCAGACCATTTTATTTCTTTTTTAAATAGAGGAGGAGTCTTTGTATTAACTTCCTGTGTAAAACGGCACTGTCTCCTGTCTAAGTAGGGTTATGATGCTTCACGTCATCAGACTGATTTATAACAAACAAAGTGGGAGAGGAACACCTTGAAACGAGAGTAAAAACCAAAAATAACACTACCTCCTTTTCAAAATGGTTCACACAATAAAAGCCAATGGGAGACTGGAGACCCAAAATATTTCTTTATTTTTTTCCCCATTCTTCCTCAATAATAATAGTGAAATATACCAAAACACAGCTTACTGTTACTACACATTTTGTGGGGCTGAAAAAGATTGTCTGGCTATCTGGACTCCAAATTCACGAGCGTGAGCGCAAAAACAAAGAGACGTTACAACAACGTTGCATCCCGTTAAAGATGACTACCTCTCCTAAAACCACAGATAACCGGTGAGTTCTCCTAAGAGTGAAGAGTGAAGTGGTTTAAAAGGTCTACTCTCAGCTGGGTATTATTGGCTGTCTCTGTGCTCTCATTAGCATATGGCTCCGTGAACAGCCTCTTAATTGGGTGCTCTAATTGTATGCACGCATATGGATGAGAAGGCTTTGCCGGCAGCCAATGATAGTCCGGTCGTTAGCGGCGACTCAATGGGGCAGGAAGCTGATTGTCAGGAGTGATGATGGGCAGAATATATCAGTGCCCGGCATCCGCCAGTGGGCCACACACACACTAGAGCCCGCCACACGCCAGCGGCCCGCACTTCACATTAACCCAGAAAACGGCTTTAAGATGACAGCGATAAAGGAAACACACCCACACTCTCTTACAGGCTGTAGTCAGTGTTCAGTCCAAAGGGCCCTGAGTATCAGTCAGAAAGCCTCAGAGCTGGGAATATTAGCCCTGTGACATGGAGCTGTCCCCTCATGGTGAATAGTGGCCGCTGTCACTAGGAGCCGGGCCTCTGATGGCCCCTCCTGGCCCCTGTGGTTCAGACAGCTGAGGAGAGGCTCTGAGTAACTAAAGATACTATCCAAAGACAAACACAGAGCTTACTGTACATTGTACAGCCTCACTCGCCACTCACTGGGAGACGGGCAATAATAACACACGCTTACAAAGGAATTCATGATTACTACTATTATTATTGTTATGATCCAAACTCTCATGAAAGAGGAACTGCTGCATTCAGTAAATATAAATGATCTTTGAATTATCGTGCTTTAAGGTACACCTGTAAACCACACTGTTTTATAAAGATGTAGATTGACATTCGTTGATGGTGTTAACAGATCGCCATAGACGGTTCTGTTCCTTCTCCGGCTTTGCTGTTATGATGTATTATTGTATATTAACGCTTGGCTTAGCTCTCGAGGGCATTCTTTCCCATTATGTCGTTTTGATTTTCTGTTGTGTTCATTTTCTGCACCTGTTTAGCTATTGTAAAGCTTCCAGCTCTGATTCCTATACTGTATTGCTAATGCTGAAGTGTATGTATTTTATCATATTAAGTGCTGCAGGTATCTGGGTTTAATAGTTCTTGTTTTGTCCTTTTTTTCAGTTTTCTTCATAAAAACGTCTGGGACGATGATTTTTTTAAGTGTATTATCTCTAAAAAATTAAATAATTAAAGTTAGATAAGTGGTTTAGGTAACACCTGTTTGTATATTTATCTTAGCTAGGTCTATTTTGATACTTTTGTCTCTGTACTGCATTTATGCATTTTTAAGGAAAGAAAAAGAAAAACTTACTGAAAACAATCTAAAAAGTTGACTTCATTATGTATTGATGATACCTCAGAAGGACTTTTCTCTAAGACAGGACCAAAACCTCAGACAAAAGAGAGAAAGAGAAAAATAATTGAAGAAAATATGTAGGCCCTCTTTTGCTTTTGAAGATGAAGCAATGTTAAGGTGACGTTTTTGGCCCTTAGTGTGCCAATATGTGTCCTCTGATCCCTGACCCCAGTCATTCCTGATGACCTTTAAGCCTCACAGCTGTCAATCACTCCAC